AGGTACTGTGAGGAGGACGACATCCCGGAGCACACGTTTTTTAGATGTTTTAGGTGGGTCAGGATGAAACAGTCTTGCTACAATTCAAATACGTGAGTAAAAATTACTAAATATTCAAATGAAATAGATTAGTTAAAAAAGTAAAATATTTGTAATTTTGCTCATCAAGTGAGCGTATTTTTTTTTGTAACAATTATAATAATAGTAATGAAATCATTATTTTTTTTATAATTTTAAAATTGTACTTAATTAATTATGAAATTATTTTTATGATCAATAAATAAGTTAAATTTCAGGTAAGATAAATTTCTTTAATTTTATCGTTTGTTTTATTGCCACCCTAAAAAATAATCTTTCAATCAAATTGTATGTGGTATAAAAATGTTCCATAAAATCATCTATGCATCAATTCAAATCAACAAGAGCTTTGATGAAGTTACCAGATTTAGCATCAACAGTTGCCATCTAAAATAGAGATGGCAACAATTAAAAATAACGCTTTTATGACTTTCAAAAATCGATAGCAATAAACAAAGATTATTACAAAAATAATAATATCGAATCTACAATCAGTAAAATCGATAATTTGCATAACAGATTTAATACGATTATTAGGCAGAGATATCTTTGGCAGGATTGGAAAATGGTTGAAAGATGCAACACGTTTACAAGAAGGCGCGAGTCCTTGCGAGAAAATCTGACGATACACATGGATACATTTGAAACTACACGAATGAAACTCGAAGGTGTATTAAATGAAGATGACATCAAAGCAATTAACAAATTTTATCAAATGGTGTTTGGAGGAAAGAAGTTTGATCATGTACAAGAAGAACACCATTCTGAAAATCAATGAGGCTTATAATTTTATAGATTTTTTTCGAAATAATTAAAACTTCTATTATATAAATATAACATTTTGTAAACAATATTTAATAATTGTTAGTGCAAAAATATTAAAATTATGAAAAAAAAATGGAATTTATGATAATCATTAATGTAACCATGATTTTTTTAGAATTCACCCCCATCGCATATAAAGAAAATAAACAAGGGGAGACGTAACATAAAGTTTGGAAATCACTGGTCTAGGAAGTCTGCAGAAACTATTAAGCATAGTGTATAGCATATGTCAAAGAAGCGGGATAAATTACCACAAATGGGATAAATTACATTATTGAGGGGTTCACCAATTAAAATATTATACATTTTTGGTTTTGAAAAGTTGCACAAACTTCTAAAATTGCACATGAGGTGGCAGTCAAAAAGTTGGTGCATTTTGCAAGAACCTACCTTTTTCTCCCTTTCATATCTAAGGGGCAATAAAAAGATATATTTTGAGATTTTAGCTACTTTTTGTATAGTGTAACTATTTCATATGCTGAAGGCTCTTTCGGTAATATGATTTGAATTGAACTACTGCTAAATGGTGAATGAAATGAAATAAAATAAGCATAAATGTATAATAAAAAAATAATCTACATCAAATTGAATAAACTGAATAAATGGAAAAAAATAGTCATGATCCTAACTGTCCTATAACGGGATACTGTTATTATAATAACGCGGTCATTATAAATATTCTAATAACGTACATAATACAACTTAATTAGCTTAAGAAATATTTTAGGAAAATACTTTAGAATCTAAACATGAAGAGGAATTTATATCATTAATTTATACAGCTACCTACAATGCATTAGTAGATTGAAATATGGACAAAGAACAGATAGATAATGATGTGAAAGGAAAGTTGATTTGGCTAAGGAATTACTATTAAGTTTCCATAGAAAGCGATAGGAGTTAATCTGATTTTCTAAATCTGAGTTTCCTATAACGCGATTTCCTTATTACGGTATGTAATTAATATTCAATAGAATTGTAAGAGTTGACTATATATAAGATTCTCAATTTTATAAACTTATCAAAATCTTACGCAACATTGTTCAAAATGACAAAACATTTTTTACACTGGTATTATTATAGCTAAGAAAAGTGAAAATTTATTTATACAAAACTAATTAATTAACATTTAAATAAAATTAGAGTTTATATAGTATAATTTCACAAATGAATAATAAACAATTAAAAATAAAACTTCTCGTTTTCATTGCGACTCGCGATATTAATGGACTTCGCTTGAAACCTAATTTGGGGTTTAAGATAAATGAAATGTTTATTTCCATTTAATCCGAGGAAGTCGGAAGCGAGCGGAAAATAAAATGGGAGGACAGCGGAAAGAAAGAGAAAAAAATAGGGAAGAGTGGAGAATATAATTCAGTCCTCCTCGTGGCCATTAAAAAATTAGAATAATCTTTGCCGATTCGAAGTAATGAAATTACATAACGCGGGAGGACCGAAAAGAAAATTTATGCCCCTTACTTTAAAGCCGCTTATATAAATTGCAGCGCTCCCTGCGATGGGCTTATGAATGAATGAAAATTTAATTTCGCTATTATTACTAGTGTGTGCATGCATATACGGATATAAATGTTTGTGTCTGTGTGTATTCGAGCGGTGTTGATTATTCGGTAAGATTGCCAGCCAGAGGGTAGGTAATTTCGGTGGGGAAGGGTGGAGAGAAAAAATTATATAAATAATCGGCAGTTGAAATGCGAGTATGGCATGCAGCACGGTGGCGAAGTCGGCAATTCGAAAGGGGGTCGTTAAAACTTTCGATGCATGTCAATAATGGCAGATTCGTTCCATTGTTGCGATGGAACATGTGATTATGTACCCTGAAGGTGTGTTTAGTGTGCCGAAGTTTGCATACCGCTCGTAGGCCAAGTATGTTGTAACCAGAAGTGGAAAGCGTCTAAATTTACTTCATTATTGCATTTTTTTACCACTTTTTTTTTTATTAGCACATCAAAATTTATTTATATTCTATTACGTTAATTATATCAATTAATATATTAATACCTTGTATATAGAAGATTTGAAAGTAGCATTCTTAATCACAATTAAACTACAGTCACACAGATTAATACAATTCCAGATTATTGCCCTATGTTGCAATCAAATTGTTGATGTCTGTTAAGCTTATAAACTGTTTTGAGTATATTAAATAGAGTTACAATAAAATCCTGCAAACCATATGATTAATTGATAAGAAATAATACTATTCCTTTATTTATCTTTATATAAAAATTGGACTGGACATTAGATTTGTTTAAATTAAGTTACAGTATATATCATTATATCCTTGTATATTATACTCACAAAACTACAATTTAATACAATAGCTTTTATATTGCTCAAAAGTAAAGACAATAGGAATATTTTTTGTTGACTAATTTGATTTTCTCAAATACAATTAGCTTATGTAAATCTTCATACTGGCAAATCATTATGCAAAAGTAGAGAAACTCAAATCATCAAATAATGAAGAAACTAAGGATGAATACATAATGTTGGATCCACGTAGTGTCCCAAAAGTGCGCAGTAAAACAACCGACTGCTTACTAAAAATATGCTCATTGGAGAAAAATACTATTAACAGAATATCAAGATTTGTACTAGTTGCTACATTTATTTAATGAAGAAATAGGTATTCTCCGTTATTTTGTACAGCTCCTTTTAGTTTAGTTTGATATATATGTAGCAATTATATTAGAAGGTTATATTTAAAAATAATTATTATATAGTAAGTATTCCCAATAATTTGTAGTGTGACGTAAATGTTGAAAGTGATTGTAAACACATTAAGTAATGACGAAGGTAGTTCAATAAAGGCAATATTTAATTTCTTTAACAAAATAACATAAACGGAAATAATATAAATATAGACACTTGAACTCGCTTAACGAGCGACGATTCGCAAAACGTGTGACGATGAGAAGAGAAGTCCCGGATTGTGCGTCTGTTACATCATTTTTAAAACTTGTGTACACATATTATGTATATTTTTTAATATGTTTCACTATACAAGTATTTCACTATACGAGTAAAAATCCGGAAATTTTAGAACCCATTAAGCGAGATTCTCCTATTCAATTATATGGCTATACTGTTCGTATAAGCAATACAAACAATAAAAAAATTTGCCATAAAATATATCATTTATTGTTATATTTCTATATTATTCCAGTTAAATAACGAATATTAGAAAAAAAACAGATATGGCCTAAATACGATGTGATGAATCTGACCACATTGTACGTTCGTATGAATATTTGTACGTTAGTTAGATTATTAATATATAGTAATTTTATTAATATTTCCTAAAAAAATAGAAAAAACTGATAGCGGCCGAGTGATATCACTGACTACAAATGCTTGTACTTTAGTTGTAAATAAGCAAGTTAGTATTTGATTTCAATTTAATTTCAGTTAAATCGTAATATAATTTATCGTTTCCTAAATCGAGTTTAAAAAAAAGACATCGCCTGAATCTGGCATAAGCATAAGTGAAATATATAATATGAATTTACAGTTTGCGAGAAATTTAACTGACTACATTGTACGTTAATACGAATATTTTTAGGATAATTAGGATGGAAATAATCTTCTTCGTATTAGATCGTAATATAGTTTATCCTTTCCTAAAACGAGTTAAAAAAAAGAAAACGCCTGAATCTGATATGAACAAAAGTGAAATTCAAAATATAAATGTACAATCTCCAATTGACTATAATGTAATTTCATACAAATATTTGTACCTTAGTAAGATTGTAAATAATATAATTTGCATATAAGTCGAATATTTTTGTCAATAATTCATCTATCCCTCGCTTTACATGGTACTTTCTTTACATGTTTCGCTCTTACATGGTTAAAAAAGAATAATTAAAAATAAAATGTTGAAAATAACTTATTCATGCATTTTTTGGATACTTTTCGATTTATACTGTTTTACATTCAAAAAGTTGCAATTCATATTTACACATATTTCTCAGAAACCTAATTGTTATCAACCGTGTAAATCGGGGAATAGGTGTAATGTAACGTGTATTTAATTCAGCGCCGACTGTATATGTTGTAATACTTAGCTAACTAACCTTATATACTCCAAGATTTTGAACGACGCACTCTAAGATGGCCTCCCTTCCGACCGCCGCCGTAACATTGGCTATTGGCTGCGAGAAGTTCGGATTGTCTGAAAGATTAAAATTTAAATTATTATTATGATTATTTCCAGACCCGCTGAAAGTGCATTTTCCCAGGCGCGCGTTTATTAGCGAGGGCGGGCGAATAAATTTCATAACTAAATTAACTTTGAATATAAATATGAAGGAGGAAGGGAATTGGGGAAGAGTGTCGCCACCCCCCATCGGTGCTATCTCTTTTTAGAAGGACTACTGCCTATTATTTAGAGCAGTATCTCTGCTTGAGCAGTTCGCGGGATTAGCACTCGATTGCGCGAATGGCAAACTGAATCCAGCTACCTCAAACCACCCCCCATTCCAATTCTCCTTCTTCGGCGACGGTGGCGGAACGCACCCTTCCCATCCAAAACCCTAATCAGCTTATCCAAATTCATTGTTTCCCACGCTTCAGTTTTATATACCTCCACACACACGCACGCAACCCGAGAAATTAATTAACATGTCAAAAACCGATCAGAAATTAATAACGAGCAGAACACGAGCAACAATAAAAAAGACTTTAATCCCAATTTCCATCCCTTTCGAGAACGCATCAACGAAAAAATGAAAACAATAATCCCTCATGGACCCATTTTTTTTCCATTAGGTCGATCTACATTTTGTTTTTCATCTTGTTGTTCGGTTTCCTTTGTTCAATTTACACCAGAGTGTGTGAGTTTTCTGGTCTACATATTTAAGAGGAAATGACACTAAAATGACTTGATAGGAAGCCCTATGTGTAAGCTGCACTTGTTTTATGGTTTATGAACACACTAAACCGTATATTTTATGAATGTCGTGCAAAGCGCAGCCACCCCCCGCGTTTTATGCTCAACGTATAAAATCCGAAAAGAGAAAGCGACTCACACACATACACACACACAAAAAGGAAGCAAGCAAAAAAAAAGAATGTCGGAAAAACCGGAAAACAAAATAAATATTTAATGTTCGCTGAAAAAATATACGGAGCCTACTTACACAGCCTCGAAATTCATGCCAATAATAAACGCTATTTGCATGCGTAATTGGAAGAAAATGTCACACGATGTGTATCGTTTTACATGAAAAAACAATAAACTTGAAGAAAAATTTGCATCAATTCCATTATTCAATCTTTCCGTTGAACCGAGAACATAAATGTTCGGAATTACAGATATTTATTTATTACATAATGGTAATTTGGTATAATAAACTGCTTAAAACCCCTTTTTATTTCGAAATAATCATGAAACATATAGGTTCTTATAATGATGTGTTTAATATGTGATATATTTCCTGCTTCGAGAATTGAAGAAAATCTTCGTATAATACAGTTATCCGATAATAAACTTCTTCAACCCTTTTTTATTTTGAAATAATCATGAAACATGAAAATTCTTAGAGTGACTCATTTAAAAAAATTATATGCTTACACTAGAAATTATTACATAAGACGACATTCCTAGAATAAGGTCTTGCTTTAATACACTTCGAGAATTAGAGAAAATCTTATAACACGGTAAGCGAAAAGCAGGATAGTCAAATGACACGGTTCAAGAATCCTTAAAGTTTTGAGGATACGAATGTTGAATATATTCAAGTAATATATTCGGTTAACGGATTATGTTTGTTAACCGATCACCTAATGTAATGATTATTTATATTATACGATTATTTTTGCTTATTATATAATAACATGACAAAACTATATTATAAAAATAGCAAATATAAGAACTTTCGTTAAACTTGTAGTAGTTGCAAATTTGCAACGATTCCATTATTTAATCTTTCGAATGAGCCGTTTGTCATAAAATGGACGAGTACTTTAGTATCCGGGATTCGAGACTATGCTTTAATATTGCTGATATCGATCTTGCAAATTGAATGAACGCTTGATGCACAGATGCAATTTCGGCCCCACGTTGGTCGCCAAAACTGAGTTTCCTGCTATACACAAAGAAGCTATGCGATGCTTGTCGTCCAATTAATATCGCGGTTTTGGCATCGTTCCCCCGTTCGTCGATTTATTTGCGATATAATTATTGTCCAGGAAAATTACAGCGTTAATTATTTCCAGGCGATCCCAATTTAGTATTAAATTAATTAGCAGTCATCCATGTGGGACGGTTGTTCAACGGTTCCGCATTTAACAGGAAGCGTATCCAGGGCATCGCGTTATACACTCCAAATAACATGTTATTATCTGCGATTATTTTACATTCTGTGAACAAACAAACATTAAATATCGATGTATTTGATATTCAGGGCAGGGGTTTTCCAATAACTATATATATTCAATATAATTACATTGACAATATTTTTTGGGACAAATAAAAGAAATTGGAGTAAAAACAACATAATTACCCATTTCTAATTATTTGTGTAAAAATGTTGTAAATAATGTTATTTTTTATTAAGAGAAATTGTTTAATAATAACAAAAATACTGTTTCACTAAAATTAAAAAATACTTTCTAATATTTTTACATATGAAAAAATACTTAAGAAACTTAAGATTTATTTTCATTACCTCTGTTAACTTTACCTCAGATAACAAAGCTTCAATATAACGAAGTCAGAAATTTGCAGCCAATAAATCCAATAAATTAGAAATTATGTTATCCCGATTTTTTAGGATTTAGGAAGAATTTTTATTGTTAAGCGAAGTGCAATCATTCTTTATGGACAATTATTAATCAAACTTTTGTTTGAAAAATAATCAATAATATTTTTACTTCTTAAAACGAAGTTTCACTTAAAGAATTAATAGCGTGGATCGCATACAATTCGATAATATAGTTATGAAGGTATTTTTAATAACAGATTTTTATTTTATTAAGCATAAAATTTAATATTGAATTATTGTATAACAAGCACAAATTAAATTTTATTTAAGTCAATTAAATGTTTACAGTTCATTAACTTCGATCCATGTATTAAAATAAGTATTGCTATAATGATTGATAAAACAAGCATTAATATTTAAATAAATCGATCAAAATAAAATCATATTCATATATACTTACAATAATATATAATTAAAGAAAGTAAATTATTGTTTTTATTGCAATTAAATTAATTAAAAGTAAATAATTAAATTTTCATTTTATACTAGTTTATACTATTTTCATTTAATAGAGACAGTAAATTCATATTTTATTAGCACATTTTTTATACATATTTCAATGAAAAACATATTTCTTTTCATAATTATTGAACTTAATTTCAGAAAATGTAATTAGACAAATGTTTATTTGAAGCAATTACTCTATCATTTTATATTTCGTATCTTTGGTAAAATTTAAGTGAAAGCTTCTAACAGCAAAATAATTATATGAACAATTCGGTTCTCGAACAAATAAATAGATTTTACCATTTCCATTTCATAATTTACTACACAATATATAACAAATATTTATAAATTGCGAAAATACGCGCATTGTTTCCATTATGTCTTTATATAACTAATTATATTTGTTGTCTAAAGTCAATAGAACACACTTTTTGATTTATATCAATCGCTGTATTTTTCTTGATTTACTTATTTATTTTAAATACAAAATTCTATTTATTTGAATATTTTTGCATACGATTTTTGCAATCTTATAGAAGATATTAAATATTTGAATAAAATTAATGTTGAAGTTGCGTTTGATGACATTAATATGGGTTTAGTAATGTATGAATAAAGCATTGCTTCTAATGATTTACCAAAAGATTCTATATAATGGTATAATAATAAAGAAATAATACGCTGTCACCTGAGTTGATTGATGATGCCGCTTCATAATATAAGACTTAGAATGAAAGTGTGCCTCTTAAACATGCTATCGGTTATTAAGGAAGCACAGAAAATAAATATGAAAACACATCAAATTATTCCAAAAGCTTGTATTTGTTTGTTTACAAAATAATAAAAGAGAAGCAAACATATTTTTATTATTTGGTATATAATTTGAGTTTCATTATCTTTTTAATAATAACTGTAATTTGTAGTATAAAACATTTATTAAATTGTGCATTAACCACAGTCTTCTTAAGTAAATATTTTAATTAAACAATATAAAATATTTCTTGTGTCCGAAATATTGAATTTGCAACTAATTTCCCGCGGTCATTAAATGTTTATGCCAAGTTCGAAAATGGAAATGTTTACCTCAAATACGCACATCGCTCTGTTCGTAAAAAAAGTGACATTGCGCGTGAAAATAGATCTTCATAAAACGATGTTGTGCGTATGGTGGGACTGGGAGGAAATTATCCATTACGAATTGCTTCTTATAAGTACATTACACGACAGATTGAAAAAGGAATTAAGAGAGTTACAAATTTTGTAAAACCGTTGTTGACCGATGAGAAGTTTACACGAAGTTCGACTTTAATGACTTCCATAAAATGTGATGAAAACGCCGTTAAAACATCGTATGATTTTTTTTTTTCAAAATAAAGTTTCAAATGTGTCAAACTGTATATGATTTATCTATGTTTCCTCTTTGAATTAACAAAAAATTGTTCAGTAATTCCTTGTTTTCTTGCTTCTTGCGAAATTTGGCAACTATTTTCAGAAGTATTATTATATAAGAAATTAAAAAATAAATAAATGATATGTGCAAATTGTATATAAAATATATTTAAACAAAATTAATAGTAAATAAATGAATTCTTATTTAAGAATAAAGTATTTATCATCAAGTTATGAATGATATAATTTTCTTTCATGCGAACATTTCGAAATCTAATTGATAAAAGGATCCCAAAGAGCAGTCAAATCAACGTCAAAACGACGCAAGATATATACGTTCCTTAACCAAACCTGAAATATCGAGAAATATTGGAGGGTCTGTGACTGATTTATCGACGATCCCCCATATTCGATAGCGTATAAAGAAAAGCTTTGCGACCGAATACGTTTTCATCGGCAAAAAACACCAAAGGCCATTTTCTCTCTTTATTATAACCGATATTTCTGGAAAACGGCGGACGCGAAAAAAAAAAAAGAAGAAAAGGAAAGCGGTGAGGGAGGGACGATGTAT